CTCTTAGGCTTAAAAATGCAAACGCACAGAAATACTAGGGTTTCCAAGGTTTGTTGGGTGCTTCACCACCATCCCGAGACGGTGCGATTATTTATACGCTCTTGCTTTCAGGAAGATGTAGGCTGTCCACCTTTCTTTCTCCCGCGTCGGCTTCAGGCCAGTGGTTTTTAGCATTTTAAATAAGTTTCGCCTTAGGACTCGTTCGCTCTGTCGACTTTACGCCGTCACCACGGCGCGCTCACACAGGCCCTGCATTTGTGCTATAGACAGAGTGGATCTGCCGGGTCTCCTGCTGGCGTGTTGGTCTGGCTCCACGGGCTCCATTTAAGTCCTTCCTGGTCCATGGGGCCTGCACTTGACTGGGGCTCTTCTACCTCCTGCCTGCGGTTGCCCTTCCCCCATTCTGCCAAGTTATTCTCCCTGTGCACCCTTTTCGCGCCCTCAGATTCTGGGTTGCCTATTTGTACAGATTGTAATCTTTCCTTACTTACTCTGTGCAACTTAAAATTTTCTCTCCCGCCTTTTCAGTGCCCAGGAGCCTGTTTTGGTTTCTTCTCAGTCTTACTATTGTTGAAACAAGCCCACTCGCCCTTTAAAATACAAAAAATTCTGTGTTGTTCAATGGGTTAGTTTTTCAGGATTTTTTCCCAATGCTTCCTCTAATTGAAGTAACTTATATTGCCACCAAAAGTTGCTTTTAATATGTTAAAATGCAGCCTTTGGGAGCTGAGTATCATACTGGAGGTTAGGAAGGTGGGCTCGATCCGGGTCCTTAGATTTTCATGTTCCCATTACAGATTGCTGATCTTGAATTACCCGTTTCGACACTTTTTATAATGGGGCTGTGCGTATGCAAAATTTTTTTTTTTTTTTTTTACTGTCAGAAAAAGTTTAGGTGGGAAGTAAAAATGTCATTTAAACCTGGTATTAGAAAACGTGATTTCCATTAGTGGTTAAGAATATAATATTAGTAGGGATGGTGGGGCAGCAGAGAAGTACTTGGAACATAGTTTTAAAAATCTCAGTTCATACTGACACTCTTCTGTCAGCTACTGGTTGTACTGGCTTTAGTGGGGAGTTGGAGGTGGGAGGGGAAGTGAATTTAATTAAATAGAACTAATCTTGAACGATAATGTGGCATAGTTTTAGAAAGGAATAACTGTTAAATATTTGAAGAATGAAGTTTTTAACATTTTGGGTTTTGCTTTCTGAATTATGTTCTTTGGACAGAGGCACCAAAATGGTTAATTGTGTAACTGGGGCAGGCTTTCTATTACCCCTGAGTTTTGAAGTTACAAAGTAGCTAGTTGTTTTTGTAGTTATTTTTTTTTTGTTGAACTGAAGTATAAATGAATTAGTTTTTAACCCTAACAATGTCAAAAACTAAAACTAGAATTTTGATTGGTTGCTGTACCGGTTGTTAATTCCCTAGCCATTCAAACTCCTCCCCACGACACACTGAAGCAGCGACGGCACAGCGGGAAGAATGGTAAAACTTTTACATTTTATTTCTGTCTTATAAAGATTTCAGTAGTCATAACATGCAGAGGCTCAGTAATTTAGTTGCCCATTGAGTCCCAGGAGATTTTTTTAGACATTTATAACGGTAGGATGAGTCTTGTGCCTGGGATATAAAACCTTTCTAGATATCCTAAATAATCTGGGCAAAATTGATGCCATTGTGTGGAATATGGTTGTGGTAATGCATGATGTAATAACAATTTGGACAACCTAAACTACATGTAATTAGTAATTTTTTCTTTTAAATATGGGCAAGCCGAAAAGTTAACTGTACTTTTATTTAGTTTTTATTAGGTTGAAATATTTTTGTTTAAATTCTAAGCTTAATGCTAAATATAAAGGTTACTTGATAAAAATATTGTGTGTTGAAATGTCTTGCATGTTATACTGAAATATTCTGTCAAGTAGACAGTTCCTTAAGTGTTACTGTGCTTTATGCAAAGTCCTTTATCTTCACCAACAGTATAAGCACTCAAAGCATTGTGTATGTACTATTCATAGGTGGGCTAAATGTAGCTTCCCACTACAGCTCTTATCAGATTTTTTATTTTCAGTGTGATTTGGCTGGAATGTTAATTACAGTTGGTTGACATGTGTTCACATTTGCATGACTTCCTTTGGAGGCTGGTAGGTTGAGTATTCTTTTTATCCCACTTTTCCCTCCTAAAATGTCAGTCTCTGCCCTTAGGGTCATGTTTTACTTTTCCTGGGCTGTGTCTCAGCATTGGAGGTTAAAAAGCCAGTACACTGCTGTCTGTTTATACAGACCATATCTATTATTTTGGAAATATTTAAATTTTATATGGGGTTTATTTTTTAGCTAGTCTCATCTGGTATTGGCCCAGTTTTAAGTTGGAGGTAAAGTAGACTAATAGAGAAAAAGAGGTCTGAGTGTGGCATAGTAAATAATAATGTTTGGATGAACCTTTTATTTTGGTGCCTGCTGGGCACAGTTAGTTAACTAGGTAATAATGTCAAATTAAAATTAAACTGTAACTGTATTTGACTTTTGTTTGAACCTTATGTAATTGTTAATTGTAGTAAGTTGAATTGACCATAGTTTAGATTTTAAGGTCATTGTTTTCACTGGTAAAAGAATTATCTTTGCCCCTTTGTTCAGTAGCAAATACTTGCAGAGCTTTTTGGGGTCATCTTGTGGATAAAGTTTTTTTATCTTCTGTCAGTGTTACAGAGCATTTTAGGTGATGGCTAGGCCTCCACTGGCAGACTTTTTGAGGTAGTAGGTTTTACAAAAGCAGCTTTGCGCTTTTGCACTTTGAAGGCATTCTTACCTCGTAACACTTGTTTTAGAGACAGTCTCATAATGTTGTTGCCCAGGCTTAGGAGGCTCTTTCTTCAGCCTCCCAAGTTTCTGTGGCCAGGCTCCCCACCCTCATCTTTCCCCCTTCTTTTTTCTTTATCTAACTTGATTTGATAATTGTCCGTTTATCCAACTCCATTTTGTTGCAGATGCTAAATTTTCTGAACAAAACACTTCAGCATACTTTTTTTGGTGCCCATGTGTGTACACCTTGTGTTTCTCTGTCTTCCTCACAAGTTTAATGACAGGCTCCATAGTGAAGATGAGACTGGTTAGTAGACTAAAAACCATGTAAAGTTAATTTCCTGAAACACAGTGCAGTTTCTGTTAGAATGAGGTCGACATGCCTGGGCTGGCCTTTACCTAATTTTCATGTCTCCATCTCAAGTGTTGGGGGCTGTAGGTAGATGCCAACAATATTTTAGTTCCTCCTAAAATATTTTAAGAGATGAATTTGTTATTCGATGTGGTTATTTTTTGCATATGAAAATGGATAGTTATTTTTAGAAGAGCATCCTTGTTTCAAGATTAATGGGTTTGGCAACAGTGGTTCATATCACCACAATAAAATGGCTACCTGAGTTCACCTTTAAAATTGGTTTTGATGTCAGATTTGTTTATATGTGTAGCAGTGCTTGTGTGGAGATCAAAGGAAACTGGTGAGAGTCCTCATTCTATAATGTGGGTTCTGGGGATTGAACTCTGATCTCAGGCACAGCAGCAGATGCCTTTACCTGTTGAACTATCTTGCTGGTCACTTTAGTATCTACAACTTTAAGGTCCCTACATATGTATGTATGTATGTATGTATATTTGCGTTGGAATTTTGCTTTGCACTGTGTAATCACTCTGTAGTGTTTCAGTTCTTTGGGGGTAGGTAGTGTGGTGAAATGTGCACACCATGTTTTGTAAGCTACGGGAATATTGGAAATGTATACATTTTTATCAGATTAGATACGTTCAGTCCTCCCTTACCCCTTATCCCAGAGCGTGGTTGAGTGGGAAGCATAACGGCTTCATTGAGTTGTTAGTGTAAGACTCAGGGTAGTCTTGTGTGTGTAAGCTCCAGTGTGATTCTTTTTAGAGATGGTTAGTTCCCTCCTGTTTAAGAAGGAGTTCACACATGTTTTTGTTTAAAATATTGGAGAGTATATTAGAAACCCCAACGTTTCTGGGACAGTTTGCTTTGAAAAACAGTACTTTTAGAGGAGTCTCATGCCAGATTTACTTTGATTTAGTAAGATTGGATTTACAGGCCTAGACTGTAAGTAGATGGATCTCCATGTTTACTCATTTTGGAACCTTTGCAAGAGATAAAATTGTAGAAGCTGAAGCTCCAAGTTTAGGCGAGGAGCATTCAATATTTTCTTTGTCCATAATGGAGATGGAACCCAGGACCTTGTACTTGTGTGGGCAAATGTTCTGTTCCTGAGTCATACTCCCATCTAGGAATACTTGGTTCCATTTGTCATCTGTTAGAGAGAGTCCAGGGATTAGACTGCACTGTTATTTAAGATTTCAGTGCTTTGTTTTTTAAGACAGGATCTCACTTTTTAGGCCAGGCTGGTCTAGAAATCACAAGAATCCTCATACTCAGCCTCCCAGGATCTGAGATAATAGGCATGGAGTGCTGCTACCACCTTTTGGTAAATGCTTATTTTTGAGATAATGCCTTAATCTGGGACAAGTTCTCTCTGAGCTTGAGTGACACCTTGTATAAATGCATATATATTCTCAGTAATGTAGCCTGAGTAGTCTGAGGTATGTAAGATCTCATATGTGTATTTATACACCTATGTATATACATCTATGTATGTATGTAACTCACAGTTCATTGTGCTATATAAGGCCACCAGGGAAGATAACTAGTCATTTTTAGCTTTAGGTGATATTAGAAGTCATTCCTGAGAACATTAAAAAAACAGAATGACTTTCCCATTTCACTTATGGTTGTATGCTTTGAATGTGCATGTTAACAAGTGGAGTGATATTTGAACTGGTTAGTTTGTTTGATTTGATTATGGTTGTGCTTCAGTATTATAGTAGTAGGATACTAAACTGGATGCAGGAAGCCTGGGATTTGTTTCTGTTACTTCCAACAGTGTGGTCTCAGGTAATAGAACATGTTTTTACTTGGCTTTCTGATCCATTTGCTGGAAACAATGCTCACCATAGGAAGACTGACTACACAGCCTACTTTCATGTCTTGTGTGTATTTATCTATTGCTCTAATAGTTGCTACTGCCAGTGATTTACTCCTGTGGAGTAAAGGTAAGCATATTTTAGTTTCTGGAGTGTTTAAAATAGTATTGTTCATGCTATGTATTTGAGAGTATTTTAGGGTGGGGGAAGACTTCATACTGGCCTATTTGTCCAGTAGTCACAGTGATAGCTTTATTGGGTTCTATACTGAAATGCTTATCTCCTTTTGACCACCAAAATGAATGACTGGGTCAGAAAACCCACCTTCTATCTCCACTGTAGTCTTAAAAGGCAGAGGAAGATGTCAGATGTACTGAAGAAGTGACCAGTAAACTAATGTCTTGGAAATGAGCTTCAGATTTTCATTACATTAAAAAGTGATGTGATTCTGAAAGATGGTAGGGGTTGGGATTTGGCTTGGTGGTGGGACACTTACAGACCTGGTTATGAAAAGCAAACATCTTGCTGGGCGTTGGTGGCATACGCCTTTAATCCCAGCACTCCAGAGGCAGAGGCAGGTGGATTTCTGAGTTGGTGCCAGGGTGGTCTACAGAGTAAGTCCCAGGACAGAGAAACCCTGTCTCGAACCCCTCCCCCCCAAAAAAGAAAAGTAAACATCCATTTCTGTTTCGTTAGTGTTACTAAATTGATACCCAGTAGAAAACTTGTAAGAGTGTAAATAGGTAGTGGTCTCAGTTAACCCAAACCACCTTAACCTCTAGGTTAAGGAGACATCAGTCTTTAACTTCTAGGTAAGTGGAAGTTTACTTTATAAGGTTGGAGTTTATTTAGGACATCGAACAGTGGTGGAAATACTGGGTCAAGCATATAAGGTTTATTTTTAAAAGCTGTCTTGTTTAATTTAGATGTTATGCCTGCCTTTCTTCCTTGTTATATTTTTGACACAGGATCTTACTATGTAGCCTTTGATGGCATGAAACTCACTATATAGACCAGCTGGCCTAGAACTTACATAGATCCACCTGCCTCTCCCTCATGAGTGCTGGGAAGAGGTTTTCAGTCTAGTTATCTTTTTTATGGTGATTGATTTGGGTTTCTTTTGGAGTAACGAAATTTGATGTAAAAGAGTTTAAAATCTTGCTTTGAATTGCTTGCTCTTATGTGTTAGTCTTGAATAATAGGATCCTTTTACACACTTAGCTTAAAGTAGAAAACAGAGAGGAATTGCCTTGCCTGTTTAATAATGGGCAGATAATATCGGGGTGTAGTTTTACTGACTAGCTAACCTTAATACAGTTTTAAATAGTTAAAAAGGTAGTTTTCAAGTTCGGTAAACCACATCAGATATAAATCTTGTTACTGTTAAGAGTTTGCCAGGGTGTTTCCAAGGGTAGTTTATGTAGATTGTAAATTCACTCCCTACCAAGTGGTAGTTCCCCAGTGTTATAAAGTAACTAGTAATTATGTTTAAAAAATAAATCCAT